TACAGAACTGACGTTTTACGTTGTCTTTGGGAACACGTGAATGAATTACAATTCAATAGATACGGTTTGTCTGTCAAATATCTGAATTGTGACACGGTATTTACTTTAAAATTCTGTTATATTTGGTTACGGATGTGTGCAATGATACCGTCGGTATCAAATTCAACTTCCCAAGATTCTCGACTAAGAAACTCGAGAAACCTGTTCACAAAAATGTAAGTTCGTTTCTTTTAACTTGCATGCAACATATCGTGCGATACCGCAGTTTTCTTTTTCATTTTCCTATTCTTGATTTTTTGCAGCATGCACCATGCTTCCTTTTTCCACGCACTTCTAATGTATATTGTAATATATTAATTTTAATATCATTCCGATATTTCTGCGGCATCAATCTTTAAGAGACTGCAGCTCTGTGATGTCATAATTGCCGCCGCTTTTATTTTTTATGCAAAGATTTAATTCACAAACAATGTAATCCAGTGAATTTATTAATAGTCTCTCTCTGTTAATAAGGTATTCTCTTTTCACAAAATATGAACCTTTAATATATTTGTATTTCTTGACTATTATATCTAATTATTTTCTGACATTGATCAGTATTTAGGACTGTATAACAATCTCATGTTTTTATAATATTTATATGATGTTATAGAATGTAATATTTTATTACGTTTTTTATAATAATGTGTAATTATTGTTACCAAGCATTAAATTTGCCTCATTTATTATGTTTGTCATTATTTTTGCAATTAAAGCATTTATACAATTTATAATGAACAGATGAGCAAAGCCTACACATGGCAGTAGTATATGTTGATGTAATCAAAGATGCCACTTCTTAAGGACCAACGCTTCCGTTGAAGTGTTTGAGTTCAAGAGGCCTGCTAAGGCACAATGAAAGCCATTGTATCAATTACACTGGTCGTGCTACTGTGTGGGATAAACTCAGCACCCATTAATGCCATTCGATTATGTGCCAGCAGAAAGAAAAATATTGAAAATCTTTCTTTAAAACAACATATACCCAGTGTACCTGAAAATATACCCAATAACAGTAATGTAGCTCATACCATAGTAAGTTTAAAATATGTTATCTATTACAAGAATACACTTGTAAAATAAATCTTTTGATATTAAATGCATTGAGTTGCATTAAGATACATTCATATAATTTTTACAGACTGATGATAATATTAAATTTGAGGAGTGTACCAACTTTTGTCATGCACTATGGCAAGAAGAAAAGACTGCAAATGGAACAGAAATAATCATTTTATCCCAAGGTACATATAATACTATTTATTGTACTTTAACTATTTATAAATTATGTTTTTAACACAGTATGATTTTTAATGTACAATAATTTAGGTTGTTGGAAACAGTCTGGTGAACAAAAATGTGAAACTTCAGAATGTATTGCTCTTCAACGTTCTACCAAAGCATTGAACAATACAAAATTTTGTTGTTGTCATGGAGATTATTGTAATCTGAATATTAATAGTACTAATCTTCTATATTCTGAAAATAAAGTGCATAATTCTATTACTACAGAAAATAATCAACCAAGTAAGATCAATGAATATTACAGAAAAAATGTTATGCAACATGTTATAAGTCACTGATACTTTTCATATGTGAATGTTTTTAGCAACTGAATATTTGGAACAATTAGATTCTGGAAGATGGATGATTATCATAACAAGTGTCCTAGTTTGCATATTATTAGTGATATGCATTTTAGCATTAATGATATATCGTATGTACCATATGAATATGTTAGCAAGATTAGGGAAACCACTTTCTTACACAGATCAGTTTTTGGACAGTACAGCACTAAGAACTGGTACTTATACAGTGGATCATTTGAAACTTACAACGATTGTGGGTATGTTTTCTGCAGACTATATAATTAATCTATATTGTGTTTAAATAATTTGAATATTCTGATACATATCACGTGTCTGCAGGACAAGGAAGATATGGTTCAGTGTGGCAAGGTAGTATGGGAGATCAAGATGTTGCTGTAAAAATATTTCCTTCTCATTATCGTAATTATTTTCAAAATGAACGAGATACTTACTGCCTCCCATTCATGGAACACCCATCTTTACTAAGCTATTATGGTCTGTTACTTTCATTCAAGACTTTCCCTTTCTAATGTTATGTACTAAAATATATTATTGAAAGCTATTTCGAACCCTTAGGTGTGGATGAAAGAGTAAGCATGGAAGGCAGCGTTGAATATCTTTTGGTACTTAGTTTTGCACCAGGTGGTACTTTGACTGATTTCTTAAGAACTCGTACAGTTGATTGGCCCACATTTTGTAAAATGGGTCTCTCTATGGTAAAAGGACTTGCTTACTTACATACTGATATACATAAAAGTGGTGAGTAGAGTATAAAAAGAATATTTTTTCAACGTTTTATGGCGTAATTTAGATCGGATATTTTATTTTTACAGATAAGTTTAAGCCTTGTATCGCGCATAGAGATATTAATTCACGGAATATATTAATCAAAGCCGATGGTACTTGTTGTATTTGTGACCTGGGGTTGGCAGTTCAAATCTCTGGTTCTAAATACTATTCCAATGGAGAGGAGCAACATGCGGAAATAAAATCAATCAACGATGTGAGACAATTTGAATACATTGTGCAATCTGTTTCATCAATAAGTCAGTATATAATGTTCTCCATACTCGTCAATTAGGTCGGCACTTTAAGATACATGGCCCCGGAAGTATTAGAAGGTGCTGTTAATTTACGAGATTGTGAAAGCTCTTTAAAACAAATAGATGTTTACGCAATGGGTTTAGTATTATGGGAATTAGTTTCACGATGTTCCGACATCTATATGCCAGGCTCAGAAATACCTATATACAGACAACCGTACGAAAAAGAAATTGGACTTCACCCGACATTCGAACAAATGCAAGTGTTGGTATCTCGTAATAAAGCTAGACCTTTATTAGAGGGTAGTTTAGTGGACAGACCCGGAGTACGTTTGATTAGGGAAACGATGGAAGATTGCTGGGATGCAGATGCAGAAGCTAGATTAACTGCTTTATGTATAGAAGAACGTCTTTCGGAGCTACAATCTCATCGTGGTACGTTTTACTGTACGATCACAGTATGAAAACATTATTATGGATTACTGGAAAAAAGCACTTCTGAATTTTCAGTGACCATGCACTTCACCGATGGGAGTCCAATGGTTAATTCCCATTGCACCTTAGTGCCTTCAACTACGAACAGTCTTTACAGCGAAACTTCTCATCACGATAACGTTCACGTCGGTCACCTGTCATTGCACATGGTACAAGATAGTACAAGTAACGATGGTATTGTTGAAAATTTAGTAACATTATCACCTTCGGAAAGCATTGTTCACGAACATAGTTGTAAGTATTCGGCAGCTAGTTTTTACATACTGAACGATTCGAATTCATATCACTTAATTATGTCTCCGCATTTTAGTTAAAAATTCAAATGAAGTCGCAATATACAATCATGCTCAGACACTTCAACCTTATCAAGGACGTAATCCTTGCATGGAAAGAAATTTAATGTTACAGTCGGACTCGTTCGAAGAGTTAGGGTGTAACGGCAATGTACTCGTTGACAAATCTATGAAACATGCATGTAACGATCAATACAAAATTGTATCTGAAGCGCAAGGGCTCGTTTCTCATGATTACTTGAGTCAACACACAACGCAAATGACACAGCTGAGACCAGCAACGCCTATACCATACGTTCAAAATGTTATCTCTGATGATGGTACCACATCGTACGGTAAACGCAAACAAACAAATGTGCATGAAGTTTGTGCTCAAGAGAGCCCTAGGAAGAAATTGTTTGGATGGCCGAATCTTAAAAAGTTACTCGTAAATAAAAAGATGTACACTTACAATAAATACCAAATAGACAGAGAAGATTCTAAATCGAATTTACTATCCAAACAAAACGTGCAAATCAAAACAGTTGAAACGAACGTAACGATATCACCTGGAGGAAAGTATGTGAATGGTATTATCACTAAGGCACCGGCATCGACCATTCCATTAGATAAAAATGATAAAAATGCTGTACAAGTTGGAAAACAAAAACTAGATAATGATAATAATACGAATACTCGACCGTCTAGTCTGCCTCTTGTCAATTTAAGAAATAAAAAAAGCGAAAACAATCTCAGTAGACAGGAGAGTATCGATAAATTCAACGAAGTTTTTAACGTCGGATCTAACGTAAACGTATTAAAGGATCCACATATGAGAATAAAGACGCCAGGGGACTTACCACCCTCTGTAAGAAAGATTCGTGGTCGTGGGCAATCAACCGCAAGATTTTCTCTCTACGACGATCGAATGATGTGCAATATTTTAAGCGAGGAGGACGACCGTAGCGATAAAGCCATTTGGAATTCTGTACCGTTCGGTATGGATTTCGGCGACAACGATGACAAACATTCGCCGACTAAACTTAGTACCAAAAATGTTACTTGCTTTTAATCGGATATAATATTAATGTATTTGTAAAGGTCATTAACTCTAAGTATAGTAACGGCTGTAGTTTAACTTCAGCATAAATATATGTATGTACAGAAAAGAAAATTTATAAGAATAAGACAGATTTTATACTCTTTACGAAAACACATTATCAACATTCAAGTATTGAAACAAATAAAAAGAATAATGAAACGTAAAAAAACGCAGCATGTACTGGAATATCATTAAGGCATTGAAGGGGGTATTCCATGTATTGTATTAATTATTTAACCCTTGCAAATATATTTTGTGCTTATACGATCTTTTAATTCAAAATCAGAACATGCTTAAGAGAACTGCGTTAATCTTGTGTAATTAGGAAGCTACTTATGAATATTGTATTAGTGTCACTCTTAATATTTTCTATGTTCAAATTAGTAACGTACAATTCATTAGAAACGCATTTTGATAAATGTAATGAATGTAAATCACGATTCTCATTGTGTGCATGTATTTAAATCGGATATTCATGGTCCATTGAATTACGCACGATTGATCAAAGACAATCAGTGTTGTTATTTATTAAAACGTAAATTATTAGTATCATTCGCGATATTTAATTATTTTCTTCATAGTCCTTTGAATTTACTTTGATAAAGTGTATAATGTATCTCTAAACTTGTACCTTTGAGCCTAACAAAAAAAAAATTATTAATATTGTTAAAATAATGTTTATACCGATTTATATGTTTTATAGACAATTATTTTTTAAATACATTTAGATACTTGATTAGTTTTTTAGGGAGAAGGTAATTATGACATTTGTAATACATTAAGTCGTGCATTGGATATAATGACAATTTTTATTGAAAAAAAAAGAATGTAAAGATGAATTTTACACTTGAGCACAAAATATAATTGTTTAAATTCTATAGTTTTACATCCTGGCTTTGTAAGCTCAATGTAAATATCTGTAGCATAAAAATTTAATGTATTCGTTAAATAAGCTTGTTGTGTTTTATTTTGTCAAGACTGTGAAATTCTTATATTCACAGTGTGCACTACTTTACATTAAGACAAAACATAAGATAAGGATACTGCGAAGAAAATAATAAAATACATAATTAAATGATATACAATAGATAATTTTTTCCTAGAACCATTACTTGTATCACGTGTTTAGCGAGTTTAATAAGCATCGTTTATTTTCGGCTATCTTCGTTAAACCTCGTCTATGTACAAAATTTCGCCTGTATAAGAGTCAAGAAAGGATAAAACTTCAAGCGTTAAACTTAAATTAATTAAAGTGAACAAATTAAAAAAGAAAAGAGTTAATCATCATGTCTATCATAACAGTTTTAAGACATAATATAAATTTTAATACATTATCAATGTATTCATACGTTTGTAAGGTAACAATTCTAACCTTTTATAGAATTTAGGTTACAAATGAATTACCAAATTGAATTAAAACGACATTATACATTGACACTTTTTGTTGTTTCTTCTACACTTGTTACAGAATTCACGATTTCTATCATCCTATATAAAATTTGCGGAACATAAACCAATAGAAAAAATTCGAAACATTGGCATATCCGCACACATTGATTCTGGGAAGACTACGTTAACAGAACGTATATTATTTTATACTGGAAGGATATCTCAAATGCACGAGGTAAAAGAAACACCATTTCTTTAAAATTTGTATACATAAGTTTTGTCTTCTACGTAACATGTAAAACTCAATAGGTGAAAGGTAAAGATAATGTGGGAGCAACAATGGACAGTATGGAATTAGAAAGACAAAGAGGCATTACTATTCAATCAGCAGCCACTTACACATTATGGAAGGATCACAATATTAATATCATTGATACTCCTGGTCATGTAGATTTCACAGTTGAAGTAGAAAGAGCTTTACGTGTTTTAGATGGAGCTATTCTTGTATTATGTGCTGTGGGTGGTGTTCAGTCTCAAACACTAACGGTAAATAGGCAAATGAAAAGGTATAATGTACCTTGCTTAGCATTTATTAATAAATTAGACAGAATGGGTGCGAATCACAAGAAAGTAGTACAGCAATTGAATGCTAAAATGGGCCATAATGCTGCATTTCTACAATTACCAATTGGTTTAGAAAGTAATATGAAAGGAATAATAGATATTATTTCTCAAAAAGCAATATACTTTGAGGGAGAATTTGGTAACCAGATCAGAGAAGATGAAATTCCATCAGATATGAGAAGTGGTATGCTCAAATAATTAATTATATTATTTTTATGATATTTAATTAATCAAACTGTTATACAAATGTTCTGTATATAGAGGCAGGTAACACTAGACAAGAATTAATTGAACGTTTAAGTAATGTTGATGAAAAACTTGGAGAAATGTATATAAACGATGTAAAAGTACAGAATGAGGATATTAAAAATGCTATTAGAAGAAATTGTATTAAGAGAAAATTCACACCTGTTCTACTTGGAACTGCATTAAAGAACAAAGGTGTCCAACCATTGTTGGATGCAGTTTTGGATTATTTACCTAATCCTGGTGAAGTTGAAAATTATGCACTTCAAGAAAGAGGGTATATATTTTCGTTTTTTTTACTTTATACCTTCTCTTAAGTTTTTCTTCTCCTTTTCTATTTGGTATTTTTATTCTCGATTTGCAGAGACGAAACTGTTAAAGTGTTATTAGATCCTAAGAGGACCTCTGGAAATCCATTTGTTGGATTAGCATTTAAATTAGAAGCTGGCAAGTTTGGTCAATTAACATATTTCCGCTGTTATCAAGGAATGTTGAGCAAAGCAGATTATATATATAACACTAGAACTAATAAGAAAGTATGTTTGGTAAAATTTGATATCTTCCAATTGGTAATAAGTATTCCTATCGATATACTATTTCATAGGTTCGCGTGCAAAGAGTAGTACGACTTCATTCCAATCAAATGGAAGATGTAAATGAAGTTTACGCTGGAGACATTTTCGCATTGTTTGGGGTAGACTGCGCATCTGGTGATACATTTATCAGTAATCTCAATTGCTCGTTATCACTGGAATCCATGTTTGTGCCTGACGCTGTAATATCTATGTCCATTCAACCAAGGAACTCAAAGGACAGGGACAGCTTTGCGAAAGGAATTGCAAGATTCACTAAAGAAGATCCGACTTTAAGGTTTCACTACGATGTAGACATCAAGGTGAATCTTTTAAATCTTTGAAATATCTGCATTTAAAACATGATTTTACAAATTGAAGCAGCTTTATAAGACATTGCTGTACAATGCAGGAATCTATTATCTCGGGAATGGGAGAGTTACATTTAGAAATCTATGGGCAAAGATTGGAACGGGAATACGGGTGTCCTGTTACTTTTGGAAAACCAAAAGTCTCTTTCCGAGAGACGCTGATGAGTTCTTGTGAATTCGATTATCTTCATAAGAAACAAACGGGTGGAGCTGGTCAGTACGGTCGTGTCACCGGAGTGATAGAGGTAGAGATTTCTATTACTTTCAATTAATTTTCTTCCGTGTAACACAGCACACGTCACATAGATATACCCTTTCAGCCACTGCCGCCTCACGAGAATACCAAACTCGAGTTTGTGGATAAAACGGTAGGAACCAATATTCCTAAACAATATGTCCCTGCTGTAGAACGAGGGTTCAGATCAATGTGCGAATGTGGACATCTTACTGGTCACAAAGTAGCCGGTGTTAAATTCATACTGAAGGATGGTATGCATCACTGTGTTGATTCCTCGGACTACGCATTCTTTCTAGCAGCGCAGGGTGCAGTGAGAGATGTGTACCAACAAGGAGCATGGCGGCTGCTGGAACCGGTTATGACGGTAGAAGTGACCGCCCCTTCAGAATTTCAAGTATGAGTCGTTTAGATTGAGGTAATTGTTTTCATGAACGGCACGTTATGCTGATGTCAATTTGTTTGCCAATGCAGGGAACAGTTATAAGTCAGATCGCGAAACGAAGCGGAATTATATTAAACACGGATACTTCCGACGGATGGTTTGCCTTAGAGGCCGAAGTTCCGTTGAACGAAATGTTCGGTTATACAGGAGAATTAAGGTCCCTTACACAAGGCAAAGGAGAGTTCACTATGGAGTACGCGAGGTACAGCCCTTGCCAATCAGCTCTAGAGGAGGAAATGATAAGGCAGCACCAAGAATCGCATAATTTGAATACCAATGTACGAAAAAGAAATCAATGAATATACGAGGTCGTACTAAACTAGGAATCAATTTGACTTTGTATATTAAACGACGTTGTAATAAACTAACTGTAGCTTTCTAAATATAAGTATATTTGTAACGGACAGTACGCAATTACAATCCGAAGTATGTCTGGAGCTGGTCCTCCATTCGTTACAAAACCGATGACGATAAAATACGAAAGAACGAATTATTTTATTTAGTACCTTTCACTTATCGATCACGAATTACTCCGAATGAAAAATTACACAACACATGCCTTGAAATCACGATGATTTGAATTACAAAAAGAACATAGAAAGAACTATTCCGTTCAAATATACCGACGTTCGCACGATCACTGTCCGCTTTAACCTGATTTGACGCGGTGAAACTTAATTTAATTATAAAGTCTGATATTTAATGTTGAACTTTGTATAACGCCTCGATACGTGAAATATTCGAATAAATAGCTTTATCCTTCAATATACTTCTAATTTCCCTTCGAGTTAACTTCAAAGAATATTTTATATATATATTTCTAGTGGGAAACGTCCGAGCGCAAAGGGGCTAATAACGAAATCTCGCCAATTCGAAAATTCGATTCGGATTGCGATTCTCGAATCCCCGTCTCGAGTTTCGAATAATTTTAAAATGGCGTCCGATCGGCAGCGCTGGCGTCGCAGTGTACCGATGCACGTTCCACCGAGGCTGGTGGATCAGTAGCGCAGGAGCGAGTATCGGGAGTGGTCGGTTGGTGGGCGTTCAGTGTATTTTTTTGTTTGCGACATTCTTGCCTCGTTGAAAAGACGAGAGCGGCCGCCGCGCGCCAGGGAGGAGGGTAACCGCTGTCGTGCTTCCGCGTGTGTACGTGCCCAAAAAATGTAATATGGCGATGGTCGCGTCGAACATGAGCGGCCACATACAGAAGCAGCTCACCAGAAGCCTCGAGCGAATCCTGGAGGAAGCGCACTTGAGCGGTGAGCTCAAGTTGAGCGGCCGGAAGCTAAAGGACTTCCCAAAAGTCGGGAAAACCGGATCCAGCAAGTACAATCTGCAGGATACAGTTTTCGCCGGTGAGTCCTCTTCGACTCTTGCTCCTTAACACTAGAACTACCAGGTGGGTCGAAACGACCAATTTCTTAATTTCCTTTACAATTATTATAAAGGTGTAGACACTTCAGTAAATAAATGATTAACGCATTGTGATTTAGTAATAGCTAAACTGAGATATAAACATTTGAAATCTTAATAAATTCACTAGAACTACCAGGTGGGTTGAAACGACCAATTTCATAATTTCTTTTACAATTATTACAAGGCATAGACAGTTCATTAAAATGATTAAAGCATTGTGATTTAGTAATACCTAAACTGAGGTATAAACCAATTGAAATCTTAATAAGTTCACTAGAACTACCAGGTGGGATAAAATGACCAGTTTCCTAATTCCTTTTACAATTATCACAAAGGCATAGACACTTCATTAAAAAATGATTAAAGCATTTGATTTAGTAATGCCTAAACTGAAATATATACCAACTGAAACCTTAATAAATTCACGCTTTTAGCATTTATAAAGAAATTTTGAAAAGCTTTAAATGCTCGTTAGTTCTAGTGTTAATTATATTCCATCATTAACCTGTTAACCAACGAACACGAGCTAACACGCCTCTCGCGTCTTACCATGACTTTTCGCCTTTCGAATTGATTACTGAAAAATTCATATCTCCATGAAACAATGAAAACGAATGAAATAATAATTTCATGAATAATTAATAATATTTACGTCACTCGAAATCATTCGAACAATGGATTTACCATGGTGAATATTTCTATCCACGTATCCAGCGACGAAGGTGGCCACTCGCTTGACAGGTTAACCGTAAACGTAATAAAAATGCTAGTTGACCAATCGACGGGGGAGATTATCGTCGCCGCGGGCGATACATTATCGTGAATTTTCAACGACGCCGAGCGATGCAGCCGTGGACCGTTTCGAAAGAAACTTGTCCAATTGAAATTCTTTCGTTTCTTTTCATTCTGAATCCTGCGACCGTTTGCCACGGCCAAAAAAATGTTGTCCGAGGGTACCACCTGCGTACGTTCTACGCTCGCTTATTCGAACACCCTGCGGGGACAGTTTGGAACGTGTATTCGTGTTTATGTTACGTACTGTGACTACTTAAGTGTTGCGTACTCGGTGCATCCCTTATGTTAACCCTTTGCACTCGGTCGTTTCTCGCTAGAAATATTTGAATATTTTCTGATGAGATAAAGACTATATTTTGTGAAACTAACTCGAAGAGAAATTATACGTACAATGAGGAACAATATTTTTTAAATTTATGATTCATATAAGGTATAATATTAAATATCAGATTTTATAGTCTTACTGTGTCAAACCAAGTGGCGACTGAGAGTCAAAGGTTAACCCTTTGCACTCCGTTGGCTCTGTTATGGGGACATAATTTGCATCACAGATGTCATGTTACATTACTCTGAAATTGTAAAATTCTTCTTTCTATTCGAATATAGGAAATTGACAAGACAAATTAAAAGACGTGAATCCATGTGTACTTGTAATTTTCCTTTTTCAAAACGAAATTTAAGGTTCTTGAACGTTTCTCTATAGAAATGAACCATTAACCCTTTGCACTGGAAAGTTGTTCACTTGAAATATTCAATACTTTCCAATTAGACGTAGACAAGATCCTTTAAAATTAATTTATCAAGAAGTCACACATAAATTAGGGAACAAAGCTTTCTTTCAATATTTCACGTATTCATGCAGTATACAAAGGTTAATGGTAAATGCAAAAGTTTATGATTTCACTGTATAAAATCATCTGGCGACTGGGAGTCGCCTATCGAGTGCAGAGGGTTAACCCTTTCTATGCTGAAGGTACTCCGACACGCTGCTTCCTTTGGAACGTTGTTTTGAATACTTAATTTAACCCTTTGCACTCTGTAGGCTCCACTATGACACCATTTATACTGTTAAATATTTTAATGAATAAATTTGGAACTACCCTAAGATTACTGGATCTTCTATACATCCAAATTTTGTACTAAGAAGGAAAATAAAGAAATCTATGAGATGTTGCAATGTAACATTTTTCATTTGTGCTAGGGATATTATAAAAACGGCTTGGAGTTGGTAGATGATAAAATCATCTGGAGTGCTAAGGGTTAACCCTTTGCATCTAAGTTACCACTTGAATCGACGTAAAACTAAAATTGTCACAGGCATTATACAAAGTTCAGCATTAAATACCAGATTTTGTATAATGATTCGTGAAATAGTGGAATAAAATAGCTTTGTTTGTTAACACTAGAACTATCGAGCACTTAAACTGACCTTTGGAAATTTATTATTAAGATTTGAATTGGTTTGAATTTCAGTTTAAGTATTACTTAATTTCTCAAAGAGGTATTTGTACTTGTTCGGTAATCGCGAAAGAAAATCAAGGAATGGCTCATTTTGACCCATTTGGTAGTTCTAGTGTTAATGTATTTGTGATTTCCTTTCGAATTAGTTTCAGGGAAAATTGTCTTCGCCTCGTTAAAAAGTGTTAAACATTTCCAGTGAGAAACTTCAGGGTGCAAAGGGTTAAAAGAACAAATTTAATTCAATCTAATTGAAAATGACATTGTACGTATTTGTGTATTATCACGATTGCAAGAATTGTAAATATCATGCTAGTTGAATAGACCTTGAGGTATATCTGGAGCGGAAACCAAGAAGACGATAATACTAGAAGTACTAGGTGGCTGAAAGTGGCATATTTTTATAATTATTCAGAATAAGCGGACGCCTTTCTATGAAACTATTCAATGAATCGACGTAGATATACCTAAATTAAAATATGACACAATATATAATATATAACTCATAACTAATAAGACAATGTTGCTACTAGGTAGCTTTTAGCATTAATGAGAAGTAAGAATGGTAATAGACGAGGGCAAGAGGTTCAGCGTCGTTCGCCGTTGCTGAACGGACAATCGAACTTCCGTTGTTGCCTTGACGATAAACAAAGGAAAACAAACGAATGACAATAGAGAGCCGGAAACTTATGCCGGCGCGTACCCTACTGCGATGACAGTCCTAAGAACACGCACTCCATGATCGGCTATGGCAAACCGCCACCGGAAAATATTTCAGAGTTACATAATTCGAGCCCATCTGTACATTTACGGTACAACGCACCGTGGCTGCGATTTACGTGCACCTGTTATTAGTTTTCGACCGGTAAAAGTGAAACTCGCGCGTGCGAATTCACCGTTGAACAAGAAAAATGGAATGGCACGTTTACCGAATACTTTTACCGGAGTTATCGCTGTTGGTTGTCCAATACGTTCGCGCGTTTCTCGTGACATATTGGATTTCCGAGATCAAATGATCGTTTCAGTCGAATATCCAATGATGTTTCGTCAATTATCGACGCTGGTACCTATGTTATTCCTCGCTTGTATCATTCACTATTGTCCCTTTATGTTTCATGCGTTCTTTTACCATATTTCTGGCGTGCCGAGAGCTCCTAGCAGGTTTTGCTACATATTCACAGCGATTTTCCAGTTGAACGAACACCCGACACGGCAGCAAACCGAACAGAAGCGGTTGGTTCTCCGAAATTCTAGGTAGAAGGTTCTCCGGCAGCGCTCAGCCTGGAAAGTCCTACGAAAGCGGGCATTTCCCCCGGAGAACTAGCGGAATTAAGCTCGCCTCGCGTCGGGGACTAAGTATAGAACAGATATTACTAAAAACCCTGTGGAACGGATGAAATTCAATTGGATGGTTTTCAGAAAAATAGGAGCGCTCGCAAGAAACCGGAAGAGTTAATTGGACAGGCTAATATAATAAATGGCGAGAGCGGACCGCAGTGCCGTACCCGATGGCGGGGTTAAAACGCAGGTTGTTGATCCTATTCCGGATTTACGTGACGGAAAGGTGGCCGATAAAAATATAACCGGCGCATCCCGCGCTATTAATACCGTCCGTCCGCGGCGTATCGCGGTTTTTCCTCGGGATGCCCGTTGTACACCTCGGTTTCCCTTTTATAGGAGAGCAGTCGGGTAGAAGGGCGCAGCGCGCCGCCGTACGGTGTAATTCGTTTTGCATGGCCAGCGACTCTCATCCCGGCGCGACGTTATCTCGACACGCCCGATGCTTCCTGTCCCTAAGATAGGCGGTGCGTTCGACAGTCGCCGATCACGCCGGGACTCAACAGGAGGAATTACGCGCGCAGAAGCGCGAGAACGTCCCGCGACTCTCGAGATCGTCGATAATCCCGCGGTGCGTCGATCGGCGTGAAACACCGTGCCGCGTAATCCGAGAAAGAAGCGAGACCGGAGCGCAGCGATACGTTGAATACATCCGACGATCGTTAGCGGCGAATGGATGTCATTTATCGATGAAAGTAATTAGACTAACCAGCAACGACTTCATGTTCATTTGTGCGCGTAACGCGCTCGAACGTTTTCCCAGATTAGAACCGGCGTGCATCGACGGTTTTATCTCGCTGCAGTCGATTCGCGGCCGGCTAGCGATCGCGACTGCTATCGCGTCTCCATCGGTTACGCGATACGGTTTATCGAACGCGGATACACCTTCGCGGGAATCGCAAATATTTTCCGTTGGCGTCGAGGATCGTGAGTCAACGAGGCGCGATTAAAATTACAAAACCACCGGGACACGACTCGCCGAGCGGATCGGACTCGGCATCGACGTCGAAGTCGCTTGCATTCCTCGCGGTTCGGGCACGCCGATCGATTTCGTCTTGCCGTCCTCCTCTTCCGGCGTCGCCCCGGTCTAGAGCCTCGGCCAGATGTTCGCCGGAAACGAACTTTCTTTCCCTTCATCGGGAAACCATCGCGACCGAATTAGAAGCGCGCAGGCTGTTTCAATGCGCCAGCGGAGGCGGACCGTTCCAATCATCCCGGGGAGCATCGGGAACCCGCGAGCAGCAATACGTTTGTCCAAGCGAGCATTAATCGCGAGGGGGTGGTCGTGATTACTCTCCGATCCCTCGCGCGCAAAGAAACAAATAATTGTCGCGGCGTTCTCATCGCG